CCTAGTAACCTAGGCTCTGATACCAACTTGTCACGGCCCAAATCCCAAACCCGACCGTGATGGCGCCTCTCGTGAAGACAAGGCCAGCCACAACACTCTAACACCTCTTATTTAACAGTTACTTAACATTTATAAATCCAAAACGCGCATTTAAACAATCACAATGCGGAAAACAGCTATAATCAGAAGGAAACCAACCCGACACAGCCCAAACCGGGGTGTCACAAGTCATGAGCTACTACAGAGTTGCTATTAGTCTACTAAACAGAATATCTGATACAAAAGTCTGGAATAACTGAAATAGCATAAAATAGGGGAGTCAAGGGGGCTGCGGACGCCAACATCTACCTCGATGCTCCGATCTCGCTGCCTGATTTGGAAAAGGATATCAGTGCTCAGGAACGGACTCTGCTATGCCTGAATCTGCACACATGGAGCAGGGAGTAATGTGAGTACTCCGACCCAGTGAGTAATAATAATAAATAATAACCGAAGATAAGAAAACACATAACAGCACAAGGCAGTTCTATATCATGTAGTAACTCACGCAAAGCAGTAAAATCAGTGAAAATCAAATGAAATCTCAGTTTTGAAAGCATGTGAACCAGGTAAAACAACTAATAAGCGGTAAATAGTAAAACTGCCCCTCGGCCCAGTATCAACCACTCAGTATAGTAACAGCCCCTCGGGCTCACTCTCGCAATAGTCTCACATAGTAACCGCTGCGGCGTGCAGCCCGATCCACATATCGCTGCGGCGCGCAGCCCAATCCATACATCTCGTCGACGGCGCTCACTGGGGGTGTGCAGACTCCGGAAGGGCTCCTACAGCCTAAGCGCAATATTGCTACGGCGCGCAGCCCGATCCACATAAACAATTGCTGCGGCGTGCAGCCCGATCCATATAAGTATTTCCTGCGGCGTGCAGCCCGATCCATAATATATATGACATCCTCACTGTTGGGTTCTCAACCCCTCTCAGTCATTTTAGGACACAATAGTATAAGGTAGGGATCTCAGCCCACATATTTCCCTAATTTAGGATTAACACTTATGAAACCGGTTCACATTGTTTTAAACAATTAGAAACATGACTGAGGATGTGATTTTAAATAAATAAAGTGAGAAAAAATCAGTCATAATGCCCCCTAAGGGTTCTTCAAGTCGGCACGAGGCCCCAAACATGGCAACTAGCCCAAATCATGATGATAAACAAAACAGCTTAGTCAAAAACGCGGTAAAATATCAAACGGGACGGACCAAGTCATAATCCCCAGTAGTAAACAACCCCGCGCTCGCCATTAAGCGCATGTTTCACCTCAATATAGCACTACGTTGTGCAAATCCGGGGTTTTAAACCCTCAGGATATCATTTACTATCATTACTCACCTCAAGCCGGCAAAAATCCTAGCTCGCAATGCCCTTGCCTCGCAAATCAACCTCCTCGCGCGTCGAATCTGGCCAAACCACAACGAATACGTTACAATAGGGTAAGGGAACATAACCCACTCGAAAAATATCGAAATTCACGAAATTTGCAAAACCCGAGCCTCGGGCCCACTTCTCGAAAAATCAGAAAATTAACATCATCGGATCCCTTATCTCGCCACGAGTCTATACATACCAAAAACTCCCAAATCCGAGCCCAAATGGCCCTTCAAATTCCACTTTGAATTACCAAATTTCCAAGCCCTAGCTTTACCCTCTTTTGATGAACCACAAATTTCTATGTTAATTCTACCATTAAATCATGTATTAAGGTCAAGTTACTCACCTCCAATCACACCTAGTCGAAATCCCCTTCAATTTCTGCCCAAAAGCCCTCAAGGTCGATCAAAAATGGTGGAAATAACCCTTAGCTCGCGGAACAAAACGAGCTTTTAAAATCCTTCTCTGAACAGGCATTTTCGCATCTGCGGTTACCTTACCGCATATGCGACTACCGCTTCTGCGGTTCACCCTCCGCTTCTACGAAAATAACTATAACGTCCAGGACCATTTTGCGGTGATGTCCCGCTTCTGCGGACACCGCTTATGCGGTCAACCATCCGCTCCTGCGGAACTCCTCTGAAGCGTGCGGACCGCTTCTGCGGTCAATGTCCGCACCTGCGGACACCTCACCTGCGGAATTAATCCGCTTCTGCAATAATCCCCCCATTGGCCAACTCTCGCATCTGCGCCCCTAATCTTCGCATCTACGGAACCGCATCTACGGCCCCTCTTCCGCAGATGCGGAAATACCAGATATATCAGCAAATCTTCAGCAATCACCAAGTCCAAAATCATCTCGATGACCATTCGAAATCACCCCGAGGCCCCCGGGGCCTCAACCAAAAGTGCCAGCCCATCCTAAAACATCATTCATACTTTCTCCAACCATCAAAACACCACAAAAAACACCAAAACCATCAAATTACATCGGATTCAAGCCTAAGTTCTTCTAAAACTTCCGAATTACACATTTGATCAAAAACCCAACCAAAACACCTCCGAATGACCTGAAATTTTGCACACACATCCCGAATCACCTAACGAAACTACAGCAACTCTCGGAATCCCATTCCGACCCTCGGATCAAAATCTCACCTATCAACCGGAATTTGCCAAAATACCAACTTCGCCAATTCAAGCCTAATTCTACACCGGACCTCCAAAACCAATTCCGATCACGCTCCTAAGTCACAAATCATCCCCCAAAGCTAACCGAAACACCGGAAGTTACATCCGAGCCTTCTAACTCATAAGCCAACATACGGTTGACTTTTCCAAAACAAATGTTCCTTAAAGAGACTGTCTCATTTCCTTCTAAAACCAATCCAAATCAACTCGTTCACACAAGACTCTTATAATGAAGCATGAAGAAGCAGAAAACGGGGAAAACGGGGCGGTAACTCACGTGACGACGGGCCGGGTCGTCACACTTACTTATCACACAAGCTATGTTAGGTCGTGTACAATTCATAATGTACATCAAACTTCCCAGCACTCAAGCATATTCCAACTGAGACTTGCTTTGACCTTTATTCTATACAAGAGTATGGTTTAGATCAATTGGCGGTTTTGCTTCTTTTAAGTCCAAATATTTGAACTTTCCAAGTACCATTTTATTATAATGAGATTGAGACAAATCTAGACCTTGAGGAATTTGAAAGATCTTAATTCCCAAAATTAAATCGGCAACTCCTAAGTCTTTCATATCAAACTTACTAGTAAGCATGCGCTTAGTAGCATTTATGTTAGCAATGTCGTTACTCATTATCAACATATCATCGACATATAAACAAACAATGACTATTTGATTTGGAGTATTCTTAATATAAACACATTTGTCACACTCATTGATCTTGAAACCATTTAACAACATTGTTTGATCAAATTTCGCATGCCATTGTTTTGGTGCTTGTTTTAGTTCATAAAGAGACTTAACAAGTCGACATGCCTTCTTTTCTTTTTCGGGAACTACAAACCCTTCAGGTTGTTCCATATAGATTTCTTCATCTAAATCTCCATTTAAGAAGGTTGTTTTTACATCCATCTGATGGATTTGAAGGCCATACACGGCGGCTAACGTTATTAACACCCGGGTAGATGTAATCCTTATTACCGGCGAGTATGTGTCAAAGTAATCAAGACCTTCTCATTGTCTAAACCCTTTAACAACTAATCTTGCCTTATATTTGTCAATATGACCATCAGATTTCATTTTCCTCTTGAAAATCCATTTACAACCCAAAGGTTTATTTTTCGGAGGAAGATCAACCGATTCCCAAGTATGATTACAAAATATGGATTCTATCTCACTATTGACTGCCTCTTTCCAATATTGTGCTTCCGAGGAAGACATTGCTTCTTTGAACGTTTGAGGCTCATTTTTCAATAAGAATGCCAGAAAATCTGGTCCAAAGGAAGTAGTTGTCCTTTGACGTTTACTACGTCTTGGGTTTTCCTCATCAAAAGTACTTTCCTTTGCTTCTTCCCGGGGTCTCTTAGAATCTTCATTAGACGACTCACATTCCATTTTATACGGATAAATATTCTCAAAGAATTCAGCATTATCCGATCTAACTACCATATTAATATGAATGTATGGATTTTCTAATTTATGAACCAGAAACGATATGCCTTACTATTTGTTGCATATCCTACGAAAATGCAATCAACGGTTTTTGGTCCAATCTTTACCCTTTTGGGTATAGGAACTTGCACTTTAGCCAAACACCCCCACACTTTAAAATATTTTAAGTAAGGTTTCCTTCCTTTTCATTCTTCATATGGAATGGATTGCGTTTTGCTATGGGGAACTCGATTCAGTATTCGGTTAGCTGTAAGACTAGCTTCCCCCCACAAATTCTGAGGTAAACCAGAACTTATTAACAAGGCATTCATCATCTCCTTTAACATTCTATTCTTTCTTTCCACAATTCCATTAGATTTCGGTGAGTAAGGGGCAGTTGTTTGGTGAATAATGCCATTTTCCAAACATATTTCTTCAAAAGGAGATTCATATTCGCCGCCCCTATCACTTCTTATCATTTTGATCTTTTTGTTTAGTTGCGTTTCAACTTCATTTTTATATTGCTTGAATGCATCAATTGCTTCATCTTTACTATTAAGTAACTAAAATAGCAACATCTAGTACTGTCATCAATGAAAGTTATAAAATACTATTTCTCACCGCGAGATGGTATTGACTTCATGTCGCAAATATCTGTGTGAATTAAGTCTAAAGGATTTGAATTCCTTTCAACTGACTTATAAGGATGCTTAACATGCTTTGATTCCACACATATTTTACATTTCGAGTTATTGCATTCAAACTTAGGTAAGACTTCAAAATTAATCATATCTCGCAAAGTTTTGAAGTTGACGTGGCCTAAACGTTCATGCCATAAATTATTTGACTCAAGCAAGTAAGAAGAAGCTGAAATTTTATTAATATCAATGGCAATTACATTGAGTTTAAAAAGGCCCTCAGTAAGGTAACCTTTTCCTACATACATTTAATTCTTACTAACTACAACCTTGTCGGAAACAAAAACACACTTAAAGCCATTCTTGACTAGAAGTGATGTCAAGACTAAATTCTTTCGCATTTCAAGAACATGAAGAACATCATTTAGAGTCACAATCTTGCCAGAAGTCATCTTCAAAGCTATCTTGCATGTTCCTTCAATTTTTGCAGTAGCGGAATTTGCCATGAAAACTGTCTCGTTGGGTCCAGCGGGAGCATAAGAAGTAAACAACTCCTTGTTAGCACAAACATGACGAGTTGCCCCCGAATCAATCCACCATTCTCTAGGATTTCCGACTAGGTTGCACTCTGAAAGCATGGCACATAAATCGTCTATTTCATCATTCTTCTCAATCATGTTTGCTTGACTTTTCTTCTTGTCCTTCTTTGGTGCACGACATTCAGCAGCCTTGTGTCTAACCTTTCCACAGTTGTGGCAATTACCTTTGAACTTCTTTCTGCTTGGGTAATTCTTTGGTGCAGACGACTTCTTTCTCTTTTTGCTCGTTGAAGCTTCCTCAACAATATTTGCACCCATTATTGTTGAACTTCCACGAGACTTCTTCTCAGCAGCCTTGTTTTCCTTTTCAATCCATAGACGAACAATAAGGTCTTCAAGCGTCATTTCCTTGCGCTTATGTTTCAAGTAATTCTTAAAGTCCTTCCATAGCGGAGGCAGCTTTTCAATAAATGCCGCAACTTGAAACGCTTCATTTATGACCATACCTTCAATCATAAATTTATAATTAGTAAAATAATCAATATAAAAATATTGACTCGATTTATACCTTCAGCAAGGAGGTCATGAACAATAACTTGCAATTCTTGGACTTGCGTTATGACAGATTTTTCGTCAACCATTTTGAAATCCAGAAATTTGGCAGCCACAAACTTTTTTAGTCCAGCATCTTCAGTCTTGTACTTCTTTTCAAGCGCATTCCACAATTCTCTTGATGTTTTCATGACGCAATAAGCATTGTACAAGCCTTCTTCCAAGAAACGTCAACTATAATTTTTGCATATGAAGTTAGAATGCTTCCATGCCTCAGTGACCACAAATCGCTCATTTTAAGGAGTTTCTTCTCCCAGAACTGGCACTGATAAAGCGCTGTAAACTGAGTGTGGTCAGGTAGAAAAATATTTTCTACTGCCAACGCTTAAAGTCCACACTAGAAAACTTTCCGGGTTTTTCTGCCGGTGCAGGAGTTGTGCGACGTGAAGACGCAGTTGCCATTGCAGCTGTACTCCCAACAGAACCATTCTGTTGTTCTGCACTCGTTGTCATTTTTCTGTAAAAGAAATTGACAAACAAAATTAGTATCTCGGTGAAGTTTTTATATCTTCAAACCGAATATAAACAACCGAGTTTTTATATCTGGGATTGAGTAGAACGTCACAAAGACGTTAATCTCAAACTAGAGTAGAAAATTCGAAGATTTTAATCTTCAAAACGGGAGTAGAAAATCAATAAGATTTTAGTCTCCCAAACTAGAAAGCAAGATGAATACAGAAATAAATGTTAAATTCCTTACATCACTCTGTATTCAAAACCAGTAAATCAACAAACGTTAGTTTAAGGAAAAACAAATCAGAAAAAAATTCCGAGCCCACAAGTTTCTTGTGTTTCCTTAAGGAATTTAATCCCCTCACAATGCCCAATGTTGCGGATTAATTCCTCCCAGGATAGAACGGAATAACTATTCTGTGATAGCGGCTCACAGAATTTCGGCGAACTCAAATGGAGGAGCAAAAAATGATTTCTTCCAACGCGAAAATTATTCAGAAAAGAAAATGTTAAATGATGGAAAATAAATTTAGTCCAAAAAATCATATCAATTGACCGAAGCCGAAGCTGAGCGAGCGACAACGACGGCGCGAGGTACCACTTGTTCTTAACTCTTTAAGAGCTAGAAGATGAGCTTCTCTATATATGCAATGTATACGGTAGAAATCGAGGCTACCCGATTTCGTGAACTCGAGGATTACTTCAGGAGAGAAATCGATATAGACCTTGAGTGAGCCCGATAGGAGACTTCATAGATCGAAGTACTCGATGGATACCGAAGCCCACTATGCCCGGCCCCGAAATAATGCTGTTATGGATCTCTAACAGAATGAACGAGATTCCTGCCACGTCCCCAAAATCATGGCGCAAATCCCGGAATAGTATTGTACGATTCCATATTAGGCGATTAGACAGTTGTCCCAATGAGATTCCTTACTATAAATGGAAATGTACCTTATTTAGGGTTCCCTTATTATATAAAGGGGACCGCAATCATTTGTAAACAGGATCCAATCATTGGAAAAGAATATACTATCTTACTTTTTGGCTCATTGCTCAGCAGACTTGCCCTTTCTCTCTATTGTTCTTACTTTATTGTTCTTGGTTCATCTCGAGGTCACTAAGTTCGAGGTCAAAACTGCTTGAGTAACACTAGTTTGATTCACTTGTTTCTTTCATTTATACCTCACATTTCTTGATTATTAATTGGTATTGAGCTAAATCACATATCTTTAAAACCACAAATCAAATTTAATTGTTACTCGTATTTTCGAGGTAAACAGTTTGGTGACCACCGTGGGGCTAAAGATAATAGTGATTATTTCTTTACTGATTCTCATTACACACGTTATTTTTACACTTTTTCTTGTCAATATTTTCTGATTCTCAAGATTAAACATGTCGAACTCGCAAAATGCACCTGTTCATGACAATGAAGGTCTTGGATTTCATGGGGAAAACAACAATGCAGGGGTCGGTGTACCACCAATAAACCCTGGGGAAGTGCCAAATCTGGAACCAGTTGACGTTAGTTACCACATTGCTTTAAATGCAGATTTAGGCGCAGACCCCGGAGGAAGTGTACGCAGAGAAGCCCGATCTAGGGGCCAAGGAACGCCAGGAATAGGTGACAGGGGAATCAGCCTCCAAGTGATATTCGAGATGCTGCTAGCTTAGCAAATCGCCATCGCTCAACTTCATAGTCAGAATAGAACTCCGAGTATAGCTGAACCAGAAAACACTCGACGTGCTGAACCAGCACCAGAGAGGTCAAACGAGAATGGCTCGGGGACTGACCCCCCTATTATGAGAATGCTTGAAGAGCTCACCAAGAAGATAGAGTCCGGAGAAAAGAAGATCGAGGAAAATGACAAGAAGGTGGAGACTTATAACTCCCGTGTTGATCAAATACCAGGGGCACCCCCGATCTCGAAGGGATTGGATGCCAAAAATTTGTACAAAGGTCGTTCCCCCCGAGTGAGGCTCCGAAGCCCATCCCAAAGAAGTTCTGTATGCCCGATATACCTAAATACAAAACGAAACCTCTGACCCAAATAAACACGTTACTTCTTACACATGTGCCATAAAGGGAAACGACTTGGAAGACGACGTAATCGAGTCTGTATTGCTGAAGAAGTTTGGGGAGACTCTATCGAAGGGTGCCTTAATATGGTATCATAACTTACCCCCTAATTCTATTGATTCGTTTGCAATGCTTGCAGATTCTTTTGTAAAGGCACATGCGGGAGCCATTAAAATTGCAACAAGAAAGTCGGACCTTTTCAAGATAAGGCAGAAAAATAACAAGATACTCAGGGAATTCGTATCTCGATTCCAAGCGGAGAGAATGGATTTCCCTCCGATCACCGATGACTGGGTTGTTCAAGCTTTCACTCAAGGTCTCAACACTCGAAGTTTTATAGCGGCACAGTAGTTGATGCAAAGTTTAATCGAGTACCCGGCTATCACTTCGGCTGACGTACATAATAGGTATCAGTCGAAGATTAGGGTCGAAGACGATCAACTGAGGACTCCTTCGGGGTCTGTTTATCCTAGCAGGATCATGGATAGGATCAAAAGGGATACCGATTAAGAGCCGAGGTCGAATAGAGATTGATATCGACTGTACAACGGAGACTATAGAGGCAGCGGTCCTGGGCAAAGCTTCACATGAAATGAGAGGAGAAATGATCGAGGTCAAAATTCTCGGGGGCTTGATGCCGAGGAAGATCACGTTAAGTATCCAAAGTTCGAATAAAGGTAAGACCCCAGTCCAATCTTTTCGATTTGTTCGATTAACACTTGCAGGCTATCGATAAGGATCGGCACGAAGCTCTGAATCTTGAAGCACGAGTTGCACTCTTTTTCCCTTAGACCGGTTTTTGTCCCAAATAGGTTTTTCCGGCGAGGTTTTTAACGAGGCAACCGTTGCGTGCTAACTAAAAGCAATTCAACAGTATCCGAGTTTCCTTACAGTAAGCCTCGAATACTGGAGGGCATTACCCTTGAATGTCTTCTCTCTGACAAGGAAATCACTTCGTAACAGCGGGCCTCGATAGGAAAATTTTGTAAGGGCCAAACGGTCAGATGAACCGTGCCCGTATAGGTTACTCGAGCCCTAGAAATCAAGCACGCGCGCATGTATAATCATCTATCAAGAGAAGTAATTTTCCTTGTCGATATCCCCTACCTTTATAAAATTTTCATATTTTATACTCTTGGTCTATTGTGTAAACAGGCTTAAGGGCCGACCGCGGCGGAAATTCGAAGAATTGACCCATGCTTGAGGGCTGATGTCCCAAAGGCGAACGGAATCAAACTGCTGACATTTCGAGACCATAAGACCCTAAAGGCAATACTCGATTTTGCAGGCCACGGCCACCCCACTCGGGGATGACACTTCGGTCAAGCTCGAAGTGAAATGGAAGATCAGCCCAAAGGGCAAGTTCCGAACTAAAGAGGCTACGACCAAACTAACACGGATCGAAGACATCCAAAATCCGTGACAAATACGAAAGTCCAAGGGCTACCTCAGCCCGAGTTTGAGCAAACTCTCACTCGGGGACTATCTAAGAAGCCTAAGGGCTAACTTTACTTCGACTTCGAGCAAATCCTCACTCGATCATAAAAGCCCAAGGGTTATCTTAACCCAAGTGCAAGCATGTCTTGAACACTCAAGGACTATTTACTCGAGCTATCTGAGTTCGAAATAATAAGACCTCAAAGAGGCACCCCGATATAACGGGCCAAGGCCATCACACTCGGGGACTAACATTTCGAACAAGTTCGAAATATTATCGGGAAACAAGTCCAAGAGACATACCCGAAGGCTACGGCCATACTAAAGACTACGTTCATATAAAAAGGCTACGGCTAAAATACAGCGGGGAGACGTCCGACTTCCTTTATAAAATAAAGGCCTTCAAACACTTTGAAAAAACCGTTAAATCAGGCTACCCTCGGCAAAAGCAAATGATAAAGGGCTTCGATAAAATCAGCCCTCGAATAATTTTGTCACGACCCGGATTTCCCACCCTCGGGAGTCGTGATGAAGCCTATTAATGAGAGCTAGGCAAGCAAAATTTAATTACTTTTTCATTAATAACATAATTCCTTTTAACAATTATCGGCAATAATACAAGCAATGAAATTAAATAATAAGCGGAAGTCTCAATATTATAGAAAACTGAATAGAAATGCGGAAAATTTCAACCAAGGCCTCTACCCAAGACTGGTGTCACAATTTCACAGACGGTCTAAGAATACTACACATAAAGGTCTGAAAGAAATAAACTTGACACTGTCTTCAGAATTACATGAAAGAAACAAGAATATAGATGAAATGAGACGCCAGGGCCTGCGAACGCCTGCAAGGCTACCTCGGGTCTTACTGGACTGAAAGCCTGCTCCCACTCTATTATTGCTGCTGTCTGAAGCCTGGGATCTGTGCAAAATAGCACAGAGTGTAGTTTCAGCACAACCGACCCCATGTGCTGGTAAGTGCCTAGCCTAACCCCGGCGAAGTAGTGACGAGGCTAGGACCAGACCACCAAATAAACCTGTGCAGATATATATACAAGTACAACGGAGACGTAGCAAGAAAATAACAATTTAAGCTGGGGAAGGGAGCATGCTTCAGGGGCAACAGTTAGAAATAGAATTTCAGGAATAATAAAGCGTACATCTACAATTTTAACTTCTAGCAGTAAATGAAGAGATAAGCCAACTTTCATGTTCAACTCATCTTGTTGCAGGCGTGCAACCGGATCCCATTTCTCAATATCTCGTGGTAGGCGTACCACCCGCTCCCATTTCAATATCACTCGTGGTAGGCGTACCACCCGCTCCCATTTCAATATCACTTGTGGTAGGCGTACCACCCGCTCCCATTTCATTAAATCAACAGTTCCTCCAAAAGAAATTTTACTCTAACAAACGCAACAATTAATACGAGTTCTTAAGACAACAAGTACACAAAATTTACGATTCACTAAGGAAAA